CCTGCTGGCTGAATTAGGTACAATGGAGCTTCAGCAATACAAATATCCTACAGAATGGGCCGCTGTGGAAACTTTCCCAGAGTGCTGAGTCTTATCTGCTTTTGTGGTTTTTAAGTCTCTCTCCTTGTTGATGACTACCAGCTATCATTTTTCATTGATTTTCATACGCCTCCTTAAAGCAACTCTTTTTCCCCTCAAAATATGTTACTTCTGGACTTTTTAAGGTACAGAAATCAATAATTAAATTTGTTAGAACTATATGCAAAATAAGAATAAACAGACTCTGAGAATGACAGCCTAAGGTGGTTGTGGGAATCTGCTACGTTGAACTCAACAACCTAGTAGTCTCTGTCTTGTGTCGTCTTCTCTCCTTAAACATGGGATAGGGCTGTGGCTTGCTTTCACCAAGAGAATGCAGTAGAAATAATACTGGGCCAATTCCAGGCCCAGACCTTAAAAGGCCCGGGAGCTTCTGCTTTTGTGCTCCTGGGAGCCCTGAGCTGCCATTTAAGGAATCTAGCAACCCTAATAAAGAAGCGACAAGGAGAGGCCGCTAGAAGGAGGGGAGAATACACAGAAGAAAGTCAGCCTTGGCTCACTTGTCATGTGAGTATAATCACACAGGACCGTGGGCAGGATCAGCTAAAGAACCTCCTGGCTGAGCCCAATCCATGCTGCAGAATTGTGAGAAATACCGAATTGGTTGTTTTAAGCTACTAAGTGGTGGGGGAGTTGTTACACAACAACAGATAAAAGATGTTTTCTTTGAGACATGTGAAGTACAGGAGGTTAAAAAGGTCTGACCAAAGGCTCAAACCTACTGCTATGACTTTCAGGACCAGACTTTGTCAACTGAGTGAATAAAACAACCAGGGAGCTAAGGAATGAATCTCAGAGTACGAGCCATCTTGACAATCCTCCACATTCTCTGTTCCAGCTCTAAGCTCTGTGTTAAATGAAATACGATAATGTATACAAAAACAGCTAGTACACAGGCTGGCACATGGGAAACACTCAAAAAATGCTTCCGGATTTGTTCATCTGTTCCTAAAGCAGTGATGTGAACATGAACCTATCTCTTCAGGGTAGTAATAGTGAAATGGGTAAGATCATTCTGGAACCAGAGAGCCTAGGCTCAAATCCTGGATCCCACAATTACAGAGCGTGGGGCCTTGGACTTACTCAACTCTCCTGCGCCTCAGCCTGCTCATCTGAAAAGGAGGTTACCAGAACCTACCACCTCACATTACTGTTGTGAAAATTGAGTTGCATGTTAAAAGACTAGAAGGTACCTGGCACCCAGTAAAGACTATGTTATTGTTTATTGTTAAGCTTTTCTTTATTTGTCTCTGCTGTTCTACCATTTCACATTCAACCAGTCAATTACACTTGTGTCTGTGCACCAATATTCACAGTATTTCCCTTTAGAGATTTCAGAACCAAGAAATTATTGAGATAATTGAATGCCATTTTTTAGTCTCTATTCAGTTTCTATTCTTCCGGGTTTCTCCTCAAATAAAGGAATATCAAAAGAAATTAGTCTCTGGTAAAATCCTGGAAAAGCTAGCAACTTATTGTGAGAACGGGGCCAACAAAAGTGACAAGCAAGGTGTGTATGGAAAATCACAAAGCGACCATGTGAGACTCCAGGATGCTACAGAGTGTGGTGGGGTAAGGGGCGTGATGCTCAGGAAGGTGCTGGTCCCCTGTGACCTTGAGCAGTCCCGTACTCTAGGGCTTGGGAACCTCAACTGTAAAAGGGGACACCTTGATTCCACCTGCTCTGATCTCTGACAGGGCAGCAAGGAGCGGTAAATGAGTCCACACCTATGAAAAGCTTTCTGTAACTCCTAGGGCACTGGGCGGAGGTTAGGAAGCATCTCAATCTATTTACAGTATCTTACTTTCTGCAACAACTTTTTTATATTTTTGAAAGTTTTCAAATAAGCCCCAAACCTCATTCCTTCCAACAAGCAGGGCCACCAGCAAGTGCCTTTGATGAACTAACGAGAACCCTATTTTCTTTAAGAAACTAAAGAGTAGGCATTCTTTTGACAACTCTCAAAAATAGTTCAGTCAATTCGATAAAATCATCTTTGAAAACATAAAAAAGAACTCACCATCGCTTGGCACGTAAGCCCGATAGGCTGCTACCATGCTGAAGGCTTTACATAAAGGGAGGGCCGACAGCCTGTGATTCTGCTGGGTCTGATGGAGACCTGCTACTCTGATCTCTGAAGCTCGCTTTGTCTATTCCCGCTCCCTCTTCCCTCCTGTCTGTTTCTACACTTTACAAAGGGCCTTAGAAGTTGTATTTCTGGCCCAGTAACTCTTCCAGCCACTGCTGGGTTCAGACCAGATTTAGCCCAAGGATCGGCGGGTGACCAGGCCCACACAATGCCAGGAGGAAAGGTGCCAAGCCTGCTCCAGCTCCGGCAGACTGGCTGTCACTTGGGCATCTGGCCCTGCCTGAAGGCTCCATTTGTCATTAAAGACGTCCCTCCTTCCCCAGCCATTCTTTCCACCCCCTAACCCAGGGTCTCCATGAGAGGGACAAAGGGGGCCTTATTAAAGGCAGGGAGAGGAGGAGAACCAATGGCCTTAAAGAGATGCTGAAGGGATGACACTGGGGACCACCTCAGAAAGCTCTCCCTAGGCCTGCTGGGCACTTGCCACCTTCCAGGTCTCCCCGGGGAGCTGGGGTGACTGACTTGAGTTTTTGAAAGCCTGGACAGTTGTTGGACACGGTGAGAACAGACTGAGAGGTTTGCAGCAAGCCTGGGAGCCAGACAGCACAGTCTGGCTTCTCCCATCCAGCTCTGCCCTGACCAGCAGAGCTGTGTGGTGAGAGGCGAGCGCTGCTGCTAATTACGTTTTCTGAACACGCCACGGGCACACTTTCCTCAGGCTGTTTGGTTTGTCCCCTCTCCACCCCCACTCAGATGCAGCATGCAGCTCAACCAGTCTTACAGGGAGGAGCAATGTGGGAGCCCACGGGGGGAAGTCAGGCCCACCACCCTGGATGACCTGCAGTAAGAAGACGCCCTGCCCTTTCCCACCTACACAGGTGGGGTTCACACCAACTAGGGCTGAGGACCAAAAAACAAACCGCCACAGACCTCACTCCTGGCCAGTGTCTTGGCTACTTACACATACAGAGTCCCAAATATCACTCCTCTCCACTGTGACCACCGCCGGATTTTTCTCCACCACTTTAACAGCAGCAAAACGTGTTCTGAGACAGACTGTCGCCTCCTCGGCTTTATTGCTGCCACAATCTGAAATTCCCTGTCCTCCTGTGTTCCTATCTCCTATTCCCCCAGGCCTGTTTCTGCACCTGTCCACCAGAGAGCGGTGCACTGGTCTCTGTCCAAGTGACTGTGAGCGCCACAGGTGTTGAGACAGAGTTCTGAAGGCAGCTGGCCTGGTGTGTCCGGGGCTCTGCACACAACAGATGTTTAACACAAATCCGCTGGTCATGCCCCAACACCAAACATGGGGAAGGAAATCCTTCTGAGATGAATATGCAGCGAAACAGTGACCTGCTTGTCTTTAGAGCCCTACAGGTGTCTGTGAAGGACTCAAAACACCAGACTTTTGATGCACAGACATGTGACTTGGACACCCGTTTCCACCAAGGGTCAGTTAGGGTAGCAGTAAACTTGAACAAGCCAAACCAGAGGAGTGAAGGATCGTACATGCCAACATGAAGACGGTTTGGCAGTGTGGCCTCACACCAAACACAGGCCAAGCCACCTCCCTGGAGCCCAGCCAAATCTATGACAAAGCCGATTGTTCTGATACTCACTAAGGTGTGCCCTTGCTGATCTTGGCTGCTCTGCCAGCTACACTATCACAGCAGTAATACTACAATGAACTAAGTGCCTACTCTGTGCCAAGCAGACTAAACACTTAAGCATATACTGCCTAGCGAGGCAGAGAGACTGGGAGAGGCAAAGGTTTTGAAGTCAGATATCCCAAGCTCTGCATTCACCCAGAGACCGTCTCAGTGCCAACTGTGTGCCATGCTCCATGCCAGGCACTGAGGATGTCATGAGGTGTAAGAGCAGCCCCTGGCCTCAGGGAGTTCATAGTCTGTGGAAGAAAACAAATGGAAAAATAGGCCACTAACTACAAAGTGAGAGATGCCATTATGAGGGCGTTTACTCAGCCCTGGCCTCATTTGAGTGAATCCTAAATGAGGCTAGCCATGTTTTTGTGCAAATTACTCAAATCCTCTAAACCCTAGTTTCTTCATCTGTGATGCGGGGATTAATAATACCTAGGTCACAGGGTTCTATGAAGACTAAATATACAATCTATATAAAGTACGTACCTTGAAGTAAATAAAATGATGGTAATCACTCTTATTTAACCATAAAATAATAAGATCTTATGTAGAGATTTAACGTATGACAACCCAACTGATTTCTAACTTTTTCTCGGGCATACAATTTTCAAAACACTCAAGGCTTACACATTTGGAGTCTCTAACCTGCACTTGATTCTTTATTGGAGGGTCCCTAGGATGACCATTTAATTCACTGCCCAAACCAGGCCTCTGAGAGTAGGAAAAAAAGGAACAATTAATGATTCCACTGGGACAACGTGGCAAACCAGATATCACATTTTGGACAAAAGGGAGCCGCTGGTCACTTTATCCACTGTCCATAGGCCAATTTCATTATCAAAGTAGGCAGCCATCACTATGCATCTCCTTTCTCCATCACTTTTGGGAGCTGCCAACAACTTTGAGAACAGGCCCAGCAAAACCTCAACCCGGGTGAGAGCCAGCAACCACCCCATGCCATCCAGAAGTCCAGAAGCTCAGTGAACATGGAGACGCCCCCTACGCTAGCATCTCCGCTTCCCAAACCAGAAAAGAGTCATTCCCTGGTCCTCGCACTTGGCATCTGTCACCACCCCTCATGTAATACAGAGCCGCTGTCTCCCAGCAAGGCGGCAGCTGTCCCTTCTTCCTCCTGGGTGCTGCCTCTTACCTCAGGTGTCCCAGGCTGTAGAAGCGGGACTCGCCGTCGGTGGAGCGGACTACCTGCAGCGTGAACATGGGCTGCAGCTGCCTGAGCTCCAGCAGGACGATGGCCAGGTAATGGATGAAGAGGAGGGCATCCACGAGGGAGACTGCATATTGCACAATGCCCTGGTAATTACGGTCCCGAGAGTCCAAAATGCGGACCCCGTAAAAAAGCCAATAGGAAACCACAAAGAGAAAGATGAGGACCAGCAAAAGGGCACGAAACACAAACACCCGTGGCATGTCAGCTCTCCGCTTGCGGAAAAAAAGTGCCCAGGTCCCTATAAGCAGAATGAGGAGTTTGAATGCCACAGAGATAAAGAGCCCCTCACAAATTGTGCCACAAGGCTCCAGCTCATCCCTCCACAGGATCGGAGGTAGCAGGATGAAGGCGATAGGGGTGAGGAAAACCAGAAGTCCAAGAAAGGAGGCGATGGTGAGGCCCAGGTAGCGTTTGCAATCCAGCCCCACGCTGTCCTCCATGTCCTTGCTGATCCTGGCAATGTCCTCTTGGGATATGCTGTGCTCCGAGGTGCCTGTGATGGCTGTGGTGGTCTCTCCCCAGTTGTCATCCTGGCGGGGAGAAGACAGTGAGGATGACACGAAGCAAGTCATTTGTAAAAGCTACAAAGAGCAGTGAACGTGCAGGGCCTGCCACAGCGACCCAGCCCTATTCACAAAGGCTTCCAGAAAATGAAAGCTTAACTCTTTAAATATTAGAACTTTTTAACTCAAACAATTTTCATTGAAATGTTCAAAATGTATGAGGTATCCACCTTTTCAAACAGAGAAAACATAATGTGATCTGTTTGGGTGATTCATTGACATAACATTGATCATCATCCCCTGTGCTGAAAAGCCTTGAGCGGGCTCTGAGGGCCTCGAGCTGTTTGCCCTGCAATGCGCAATCCAGGTGTTAGACTAATCTTGTGAGAGCTCATCTATAGAGATAAACCACCTGCATTTTCTTTCCAATTCACACTGGGTTATAAAGGCTTACTAAGTCCAACTTCTGGAGGTGGGAGTATTACTGCACCCTCCAGCAGCCCAGAAGAGCTAAGGGCATAGCAAAGGAACTCACACCACTACACAAACCCCAACTTACCTACAGCTAGGATCCACATTTTAAAATCTCCATATGATGTTCACAAGGCCCACTTAACAGGTATCAGTGTCAAGCACTGTTTAACAATATTTCTCATGCACCAATCTAAGCAAATCCAAGAATCCATTTATGGCCAGATTGGCTTAAAAATTCTTTCTAAAATGTGTTTTCATGACAAACTAAACATCAAGGGCAGAGAAATAACCAGGGTTACTATAATGTATCTTTTACTTTCCAGCTTCCTCTCTTTTTAAACTTCTAGGCAGTTGCTAGTTAGAGCAATTAGTCTATTCATTTAGCAAGATCCAGGTGACAGAATTTTAAAGGATTTTGGCGTTTAAAAACAACTGGCGATAATAATGCAGCAGTAAGAGGGCAACGCACTGAAAAGACACAGGGGCCAAAGGAGTTTTGTCTCAGAGACTCATATGTATCCTTTCACTTGGAAAAAACAGTCAGATGTAGTGACAAAGTAGGTGAAATTAGGACACCAACTTAGAAAAAGCTAGTTCAAGTTAGTAGCTAAATCAGCAAGATGGATATTGCTCATAACCAAATAATCCCAAATCTAGTAATAACCAAAAAAACATGACTTATGAAATGTATGGGCTATGGTAAGAAGTGGTGGTGGTGAAGGTCTCAATCCTATGAACCAATAATCCTTCAACTTGGAAAGTGAGACAGATCACACACACCTAATTCCTATTTAAGAAATTCCTATTTAAGATGATGGCCAGAGGCAGCCAGGACTCTCAGGCACTGCTGGTGGACGTGGACCATGACACAGTGCCTCTGGAAAACCACTTTGGCTATTTCATATAAATTTAAATATACGCTTAACTCTATGGCCCAGCAATTCCACTCTCAGGTTTTATCCAAAAATTAATAAAAACATACATCCGGCTAGGCGCAGTGGCTCAGGCCTGTAATCCTAGTACTTTGGGAGGCCAAGGTGGGCAAATCACCTGAGGTCAGGAGTTTGAGACCAGCCTGGCCAACATGATGAA